GTACCCAATAATCGAGCCTCTCCCGGCTCAAACCATCCAACTGGAGACCGACATCGCCTACCATACAACGCCTCATACGGAGCCATATAAATGCTGGACTGGTAGCTGTTGTTGCAGGCAAACTCTGCTAAAGGCAAAAACTGGTCCCACGAGCCTCCAAAATCAATGACACAGGCTCGGAGCATGTCCTCAAGAATCTGAATAGTCCTCTCGGATTGACCGTCCGTCTGGGGATGAAATGTTGTACTCAACTCAACTTGGGTGCCCAACTCTCACTAAACCGCTCTACAGAAATGCGAGGTAAACTGCGTACCCCGATCCGAAATGATAGATAGTGGCATCCCATGAAGGCNGCTTAGCATACAACTGACTATCATTTAGGGTCTGAAGGACCACTTTGAGGTGCTGCTCATGCTCCTCCTGACTGCGGGAGTATATAAGAATATCGTCAATGAAGACTATCACGAACAAGTCCAAATAAGGTCTGAACACTCGGTTCATCAACTCCATGAACGCTGCTGGGGCATTAGTCAATCCAAATGACATGACCAAAAACTCATAGTGCCCATACCGAGTGCGAAATGCTGTCTTAGGGACATCAGACGCCCTAATCCTCAGCTGGTGGTAGCCAGATCTCAAATCTATCTTTGAAAACACCCTCGCACCCTGAAGCTGGTCGAACAAATCGTCAATCCGTGGCAGTGGATACTTATTCTTTATCGTCACCTTGTTCAACCGCCGGTAATCAATGCACATCCTCATCGACCCATCCTTTTTCTTCACGAACAACATTGGTGCACCCCAAGGTGATACACTGGGTCTAATGAAACCCTTATCAAGCAAGTCGTGAAGCTGCTCTTTCAACTCTTTCAACTCTGGCGGGGCCATGCGATATGGTGGAATGGAAATAGGCTGAGTGCCCGAAGCCAGATCAATACATAAATCAATATCCCTGTCGGGCGGCATACCCGGCAGGTCTGAAGGGAAAACCTCGGGGAACTCCCGAACAATAGGAACAGAGTCAATTGATGGAA